CTTTCAACACGAGGCAAACTCAGTTTAATTCCATTTTTTTTAAGGGCTTGCTGAAGCAATCTTATGACAGAGAGCAGCCATACCTAAAATAGCTATGGCAAAATCTGAACAACAACAAAAGAAGCCTGTAGTATCTGTCAGGTAGTAAGCCTGGTGACAATTTTACAGCTTAAAGTCTATGGCTTTTACAACTCCAACCTGGCAAACACTTTTTGAGTGGACCCTTTATAGAGACCACTCCAACATTAAACAATAATTCATTAGTACTCCTTTAAATTTTTATATGAATTTAGTAATGATATTATTAGCTTAATACAGCTATTACTTCATGAATCTTACCTAAATCCAAGATTTAGATTATGTGTAGCCACATTTCTGAATTCTGATATGCAGGAGAGCTAAAAATAGATTATCCTATTTGTTCACATTCTGTAGCTCTATACCAACTGCCAAAATTATCTTTAGCATCCACATCTGGGTACATTTAAGTCCTACTAGTATTTCTGATCTACATGCTTCAATAATCCTGTACATCAGCTACCAATTTTTCTTAATATTGCTGAAAGAAATGCATGATGGGTCCCTAGAAGTCACTAGATGGAAATCCTATTCTGTTAATAAACACCATCTGCTCCCTTATTTCCTGCCCCCCCCCCCCATTATGCGTAAAGCTGAGATCAGTGTTGAATTTTTAACATTGCTCTCAAACCCCTCTCAAAAGCATTTCAGCAGAATTGCTGAATTCCTATAGCACCACTCCAGTACAAACATGAAGACCTTTTCATTATTTATACAGTGTCTACACATGAAGACCTTTTCTTTATTTATACAGTGTCTAGTAATTCAGTTTTATAATTCAGCTTTAAAAAGATGTGTAGCAGTACAAAACAGATAAAATTATATTTCATAACACTATTATAATTAATTGCAATTAATCTCTAGGACATTCAGAGTTTTCACTATAAGAATAATCTATATATTAAGTGCTTTTTTTCTTCCCCATGATCAAATAGCACAAAAATATCTATCATATTTACCTTGAATAAAGATTGCCATAAATTCTAGCAGGAAATTTGTTAATGAAGTAAATGATTTTAACAATGCCAGCTACCTGTTTAATAGCTGTAAATAACCCAGTAAGAACAAAAGGAAGCACTGTTCAAAGCAGGACTAGGTTCACTGAAGCCCCTTGCTATCTGGGCAAAGCTGCTATGTTGCTTTCTTTCTCAGCAGCTGTATTTCCCCTCTCATGCTCTCAATGAATAAAGTTGCTTATGTATCTCAGGACAACAGGAAATGGAAAAGTGCATCAAATTCTTCTACTCCAAAACTAAAATAATCTTATCAGAAATAAAATAAAAAGGACACAGCTACATTGTGATTTGGCCTAAATTATGAAAGAGGGGATTAAGTATAGCATTTCTCCTCCATACATTAATACCCATACATGTTACACAGACCCTGAAAGCTATGGGAAAAAAAAAAAAAGAAAAGATGCCAGAAACCTCTCCAGAAAAACACAGGCATGGAATCAGCAGACTTGTAACTTCCTCATTTCTCACTCCAGCCAGCAAAGCTGTGTTGCTAGACAGTGATGAAATGATAAATTGCTGCTGGTAATTACTGTAGCTCAAGTTTTTTTCTTAAAATCCCTCCTTAATTTTCAATGCATCTCACCATTTTCTGTTGTCACTGTAAGAGAAGTTTTTTCTTTTGAGTAATCTGTTTCAGTTTTCTCTCATGAAATCTTTTTTGTCCAGGGGTATTATGCTATATAGAGACGTGAATTTCTCAGATGTGTTCTTTCCCAAATAATAGAGAAACTGAACATAAAGAAGTACATGCACAACAGTACCAAGGCTAACCCAAATATGCCACTTGACATTGAGGAAACAAAGAAGGTGAGGAGGAGAGAAAGAAAGAGAGAAGGAGAGAAGGAGAGAAGGATGGAGGGACAGAGGGTTCAGACTGAGGCTTATTATATTGATGCTAGGAGGCCAGAGTGGGTATTTCTGTGGTCTATTGTGTACTTAGTTTGACTGGATGCAATTGCAGGGGCTTACATATGATGGCCCATCATAGTAGTTCTATCAATGATATAATTTTATATCTTTTCATACACACTTTTATTCTTGGGAGACCAGAAAATTAATATGTTCCTCTATGTTAAGGAAAGAAAGTCCACAGTTGATTCATAGTTCCCACAGATTCTGCCAGGTACTCTGGAGTTTCTTGTCAACTTTTAGCTCAACTGCAAATATGTCAAGGAGGATGAGAGGTCAGAATAAAAGATGTTGGTGGGCTTTATTTATTTCGGGGTTTGCTGTTTGTTTTTTTGTTTGTTTGTTTTTGTTTTTGTTTTTTTTTTTAAAGACAGTGAACAGTAATGTGTCTCATATAACCATCTGTCTATGTCCTTTATTTCCAAACATTTCAAAGGAAAGTATTTGAAATGATCACTGATTATGAAAGGTATGTTCCTTCTTTTTCAAATCACACCTGGATCTAATCCCTTCAGATACGTCTCTACTGCTCATCCTGCCCTCTCCTGTTATCTCTGTCTATCATTTTGCTTTATTGCAATGATAGGTTGCTAATAATTTCTATTTTAGGTTTCAAATTACAAATCCACAATGAAGCACTTAAGTATGTGGTCTGATATTTAGAGGTACTAAGTATGCAGATGTTTCATCAGGAAGCTAAAAAGGAGCTACTGGGCAATCAAAATCTTTGAAAATTGGATACTAGGTAGAACCAGATCTGAAAATGTTGATTGCAGGGTTATACACATTCACAAAGACTACAAGAACAGAAATGGAGATTGCCCTGATGTGATTATCATTTAAGTACATCTGTTCTCTCACGTCAAGGAATGATGCATGAAATGAATGTAATGTAATGAGTTTTCATTTCTTTGCTAGCTGGGTATAAAGACAGGTAGCTTTATAGGAAGTCAGAAAAACAGGAATTGAAAGAAAAAATTCTCACTGAATGAAGCTGCCTTGATGCAGCTCTTAAAAAAGTAGATCTGGCCATGGGAAAGGAGATTCCAGCGAAGTAAAACTCTAGGGCCTAGCCTAACTTCTTTCAATATTTCTGATTTCACAAAATAAAGCCTCAGATTCAAAAAAAGATGAGTATCAAATTCAAGGTAGCAAGTTTATGTTTTGTTCTAAAATGCTGATTTCTGTGGTTGAAGGTAGAATTTTCCCACACTTGTCAGTGATTTGGGAGCTTGAGTTCTATTAATCAGCATGTTATTTTAGCCTAGAAAGGAACTATGTGAGGAGTCAGTCATACGTGCAAACTGAACTCTATTGGTGATCTTCCATTTTATGTTTAATCATTCTCTATCATAGCTGAAATGCATTGTACACCATCTGTTAGCATTAGTAGTGCAAAACCTTTTGGCAAACAATGTATAAGGACAGCAGCTGATACGATATATAGTGATTTTGAATTTCCCAATTTATGGCACCAAATCAATGATAAAAAATGCTACATATTTTCATAATATGCATAAGAGAAGTATATACTATATTTTGCATAGTTAAAAATCCATAGGAATTGCATAGTACATTTCTATATAATCTTTTTGTAATAACGCTGCTGCTGAACAAAGGTACTGAACACTTGAAAAATTAACAGACTACAGAGTAGCTATAATGTAGCCAAAAAAAATTGTTATACTTAGCTTGAATTAACAGACTACAAAGTAGCTATGATCCAGCCAAAACCAGTTACACATAGCTTGAATTTCTATTTTGTAAATTACCTCTTGCTTGTGTGCAAGCCAGAAAAAAGAGGTGTGTAATTGCTTCATTTATTTTCTATAATAACTCAAGGGACAAGAAGGGCCTGAAAATTCTTTTATGTTTTTCATTACATATCTTTACATAAGTACATATAGGAGGGAATTTCTATATGAAGTAGCATTCTAATGCATCATACCTGAAGGTAAATTATGTCAATGGCTGAATACATTTTACTACAGAGTGATTCTGGGCTGTATTTCTATAGCAGCCCTTCATTGCATTATCAGTTTTCAGATATTTTCCTAGCTGTCAAAGTGTTACTCAGCTAGTTACTTTCTCAGAGAATAGATTCTGTTACAGGTGGGACCGAGCAGGGTACAACAATGGCCTCAGAGTTTCTCCAGGCAGTTTACTATAGCTCCTGGCTTGCTGACAGAGACACTTAATGGAAGCAGAAAGATCAAGTGTCTTTACATCAATTTAAGAAAGGGGAAAAAACACACACACACACACAAAAAAAACCCAAACAAACAAAAAAAGAGGAAAACAATAGTTTCTATTTATATCCTATAAATACGTGTTAGAGTTCATAGTCCCAGTGCCAAGAAATTGATTAAAAAAATGGATGGATGATATATTCCAACTCTTCAAGCATGGCTAAAGTGAGCTTGATTATAAACAAGATCCTTCCTGGAACATACATACAATACTATGAACTTCCGGACTTCAGGAATACACATGCCAGCTCATTTACTTCAGTGTCTGTGTGAAAACTGTAGGCAATTGTGAAAACTGCAATAGGGAAGTAGCTTTCTGTCAGTTCAGAGAACTGAGTCAGCATTTCTCCTATGCAAAAGTATGAAAAGGAATCCGTCCATAAAACTTGCAGATATAAATTCAACTATAGTGAAATTCAAGAGTAACTAATAATGTCTTGGCAGAATTTGAACAAGCGTACTTTAGAAGGACCAGAAAGATTATGATTAAGTTTTTCAGAATTTAAAGAATTTGGCATTATTAAAGTAAAGGTCATAAAACATTTGTGTCTGGATGGTACTGTAGACAGTAGAGTTTTAAATATTTTGGTTTCAGATGTGAGTCTATGCATCTGAATGACTGCATGAAAAGCAAACATTTTAACTTGGATAAGGTTATATTTGTACACATTTTTGTAGGACATTTAGTTTTATTATGTATAGAGATCAGGGGAAAAAAATCCAGAATCTTTTGTTAAAAATGTCTTACCTTCATAGTAAACTTTAAACCCGTGAGCACTAACTGCAAAGTCACTTGTCAAGCGCAGTGAAAATACAGATTTTGTACTTGTCACAGGTGGAGGAAGATGAAATCCTGTTAACCTAAGAAACAAAAAGCACAACTCACAGTTAATGATCTGAAAAATAAAACTGTGTGTGACAGGTTGCTGTTCCAAACAATATTTCATCACGGAAAGGTCAACTGACTTAAAAGTATATAGTTTATATTACTTGAGAAAATTGTTTTTATATGATAGTTTAAGGAATCAATATAAAATTTTAACAGCTTTCATGGACACTGAACCAGGTAAGGTACATCAGTTTGAGGAAACTCTACTTAATAGAGATGATAGTAGATAGAGAAACTGGACTTTAAAAATGGTCCAGATTATCAGTAGATGAAAAAAAGCCCCACAAACCACCAGCCAATTTACACTCTTTAGGGTTATGTTCAAACATCTATTGCATTATATATTTTACACAGACTTCTTTGAAACTTTGTAGTGGATGAATTTTCTACAGCAATATGATGAAAGAAAGGGGACCATGATTCACTTTAATGAGGGAATTTAAGATTATTTAAACTATGTACTTTAGCCTCAGAGAAGATATTTCTGCTTTCAACTCAAAGAGGAAATCCAAAGAGCATCATTGTGAAATCATACATCCATAAAGAAAGCTCTCTTGCAAGGAATTACAGGGTTGTGAGGTTGTTTTGTTTGGCTGGTTGGTTGGTTTTGTTTTGTTTTATTAAACCCACTATGTTTGAGACACAGATGAAAGGACAATTTTTGTGTATTCATAGCACTGTTGATATGCTCTACTGATACTCAGCTCTACATATTGTTTTCAGTTGACGTACATATGGTAACACTTACCTTCTCTATTCTAGGAGAATAACCTCATCAGGGTTCATACCAGACCAACAAAACCCATAGTACTTACCTGTCAAAAATATGTAAAGAACAAGCTGAATAATTTAGCTGTGTATACTCACCAGTGAAATCTAGACATACCTTTGGAGCCCAGTTAGCCATGAGTGGCAAATTGTGTAGCAGATTAGGATGATTTATTTTATTAATGATTAACATGAAATTGTTTTCATGTGTTTGTAGCCAAGCCCTATCTTTACTTATTACTTTGAATTTAGAATTCTAGAAAAATTTAGGTCAGAAGGGACCTGTGGAGGTCAGATAGTCCAACCTCTTGCTCAAAGTAGTCTTAACATGAGAGTTAGTCCAGGTTGCTCAAGATTTACCTTTTCCCTTTCCATTCTTAGAATAAATTCACCATTTCTTTTTTTTTTTTTTTAATACATACATTCATGACCATGTTTTGATTTGTTATATGTGAAATATAGAATTTAGTGTACACACAAACAACCTCCAAAACTCTTCACTACTTTGTTAAACACCTACTGTAAAACAGCTATGTATTCAATAAGACTCACAGAGACATTTGTTTGCAATACATTTTTATAGGATTCCAGAACACCCAATTCATAAGTTAGTCTTGTGGACAGTTACAAAAAAGATGTAAACACTGATATTTTTTACTGGAAGAAAAGGTATGTGTTTTTAATTTTGCTTGATATAAGTACTGCAAACACCAATGGTTTTTAAAGTTGCTTTAATGCATTTTCTGCTGCTTGTACTGAAATTCAGTCTCAGTCTTGTTCTGAAATGAACTGTAAGTTATGTCTTGCCATTAGCAGTATTTGTAGTCTCACCAGAAGGAAGGACAGAGCGTGATGAGAAGCCCAGAATTCAAAAGGTCAGGAAATTATTTCCTGAAAAATTATTGTAATTGGAAACTTAGCATTTATTTTAATGTTTTATTTATTGTTAATGTTAAGATACCTTTAGATGAGTTCTATATAGTGTACCAGTAATTTACCATGTGACTCATTTGCTGTGGGGATCATAACAAGTTTTATATTGTTCTCTGATGACTATCTACTTGGTGTTCTTAACAGACACCCTAAATTAATGGGTGTTATATTGTTGTTTATGCTTGAGCAATCTTTGGCAAAAAAACCAAAAACAAAAACAAAAAAACAACACAATAGTCTGTCTCTTTTTTTTCCAGGGAATATTCATTCATTACCCTATGCCCTTACTGAAACCATTGTTAAAGACATTGCAATAGTCAATGTATGCTATTGGTTACAATCATGACAGGTATGAAAGCCGAATGATAAAATAATATTACTCACAGCATAATGACCAGAAAATTGAAAAACATGAACAAAAGTAACAATGACAGTTGAAGAAGTGTATATACAGTTCTATATATATGCAGCGTCATCAGTGTGTGTATCCAGAAACATATTCTTTGTTTTGTCATTGGCATCTTCATGAATAATGTCATCAAAACAAGACTAGATTAAAGAATTTATATTAATATGCAAAGATGGAGAATTATTTACAGAATATTTAGGATTTAGGAAATAAATTCTTTTATTTGATTATGAGAATATATTTTTATTCTAACAATAAAAGAAATTAATAAAATGCTTCCCTCTTCCAAATAGGCATATGCATAATTCTTTGACAAGTCAATATCAGTGCAATTTTCCCATAGCTTATTTATAAAACAATAAATACATTAATTCATTGGTAAGTATCACCACTTGAAAGTAAGCTGACCTACCATAAAACTAAGCCAATAATTTGAATAAAACTTTAATTTGCAGCACACAGCAGGTCTAGCTGGTATCTATTTAGCTACTCAATGATTTGAGGGAATTGTGGTTATAAACTCATATCCAGCAGAGAAGAAATACACATTTATCCCAAATTATTTAATTTTATGACTGGTACATATGCACAGCTTAGGTGGGTAGGGGATTTTTAAAACGAACATATATGTTACTAGCGTGGCAAGCATTACAGCTCCTCATGCAAAACAGATCATTATTAGAGCCATTTGATACCATTTAGCTTTCAGGGGTGTGCCTTTTGTCACCATCATTATGCTGCATTTACTCAGAAAGGTTCAGCTTGTTTCTTTAATTATGTTGCTACACTTAATTTTATATGAAAAAATGCAGAGGTTTTATTTGTGGTTTAGTGGATGCAAAATTATTTAAAATTTTTAACAAGTAAAAACACAACAACGTGTGAATATCACTTGGTAAAATACTATAATTTATCAAAAGGGAATGTAATATAATTTGCTCAGACAACTGAAGTAACCTAATACTTGAGTATTATTCATTGGGTACTACAGGACATTGATCTTAGAACTTAAGTCTCATTTGTGTGTAAAACTCTACAAAAAGTTGTAAATGTTAGCTAGAATAGTTTTCTTTGCCATTTAAAATGAAACATAGCAAGTACATAATAACTGCAAGAGAGAGATGTCAGGTAAGCAGCAAAACGCCTGTAAAATAATCTATGTGCATAGGTCTGATTGTCACTTATTCAGGCCAGTCACAACTAAATGGCTAACTTAAAGAGAGTACCCTGGCAAAAGCAAAACTTATAGGTGGGACGCTTATGCAAAACAAGTAGTCATCTCCTTAAGCTGGTATCATCTGCATATTAAACAAATTTAAAATTCAAATTTCCTGTAGTAACTGAGATTTTTTTTTTCCCTACAGCAATTTTCTCTCTTACATTCCATTTGCATATTTCATTCCATTTGCATCAACTTTTTTCAAATTTAAAATACCTAATGGAGTGATTCAGGTGTCTTGTTACTGCTATTTTAGACACCGTGAGGTATTTGAGACATCAGCACGGAGCTGGTAGATATGACATTGGACCAACATGAGACCCATGGTCTTCTGGAGAGCTGGAGGCTGGGCAGGATCCCTTAGGGATTCTAGATGTGCCTACATGTTATGTTAGGCACTTCAATCACCCCTTTATAGTCTACCACTTTGGCAGAAGAAATGTATACTAAGACAGGTGGTCGTCTTTTTTTTTTTGTTGTTGTTGTGGGATTTTCATTCACCCAGTCCTTATCCTCTTTCCATTTTTGGTTTTGGAATTGGCTCATTTAGTGTTCCATGAAATACATAGAGATCCCATAAGCAACTGATACTGGCTCCTGTGGTGAGAAACCATGGGAAACAAAAGACAATATCTACAGAAGTCTGAGAAGGAAATATACTTATTTCTGTCTCCACTCTTAAAAAAAATGAATTGCAACTTTCTACTGGAATATTTGATTGAGGTGCTGCAGTTCAGCTACAGAATGCTCTCCAACATACAACAGTGATACAAATTTGTAAATTAATACACTGCATATTAATGCGTATGTTTGCTTTGTTCTTGCTGGTGTCTTAGCAAGCTTGTCAGGTACCTTTTGTCAGGTACCACAGGAAATAGACACATTATGTGTCCGCCTAGTAGACTTTGAAGTTGTGAATGTGAAGTATGAAATTAGTTGGGTGGATATCCAAAGACAACAGATAATTCTGGTAGTGCAGGAAAAGGTTGAGAGATATTTTTATTCATTCAGCTCCTCTACATCAGAAAGATCAGATGTTCTTCCTGAAAAACTTCTTGTCTATAGAAATTCTGAAACTCCAGTAGTAAATTAAAAATGTCAGGTGGAAACATAATATGTATTTAGAATTTAGATATTATTTGCTTGCAAAGTTACGGTGTTTTGTAAAGTAGTTTCAGTAACATGAATATGGCAATGTTTTTATAATCACCTCACTGTATAAGAATGAATGGAGAACAGAAACACTTGGTAACTGGGAGCCAGAGAAAAGGGCATATGAGATATGGTTAAAGATATGTGTATAAATAACCCCAAGTAGACCCAAGACTGAGGAGAAGAAAATCTCCATCATCACCATCATACTCCTTGGCAAAGAGTTCATCCTGCAGGTTGTTTACCACAACTACCCCCTGGTGCCACCTTTATCCTCCTGAGGAAAACCAAAGCTGTTGAGGATCCAGAGGGACATCAGAAGGGTGAGAACACCACCAGAGAAAAGAGGTAGATTCTAGGAAGTTTCTGTACAATTTTAACTGTATTATCAATAAAATTTTTCTGTAATAATTAGTTACTTGGAGTATGAGTGTTAGTAATATTGTAAGTGGATTAGTAATAAAAACTGTTATATTCACTGTTATATTTTT